GACCAGGAGACACAGGGAACTCAGCCTGGGAGGGTCGGCTGGGGCACAAGCTCTACCATCCTTGCTAAGCAAAAACTAGGTTCTCTCTACAAGGGTAAACTGAAAGTTAGGGCAGAAAATACAAGAATGGCCATAGGCTTATCAATTTCTACACTGTCCCTTTATAATGATTCCTGTGAAATAATTATTTCTATCGGTGGTCATCTAGTGTAGGGGATTTAAGATAGTGGGTTCATTAAGGAAAGTCAGGATCACAAACTCATTTAATTCTCCTTGAACCTGTTTAATCAAAATGATTTTCTGCTACTCTCTATTACAAGCCGAGTTTCTGTGGTGACAGATTAATGACTGATCCACTAAGCCACACCACCTCTCTTGTCACCAACCCCACAGACTGAGGCAGCCACTATTCTATCAATAAGCCTCCCTTGCCCTTGAAACTCATTATAGCTGAGACGTTGAGATCAAATGAGATCAGATGCTCAGTGCCACCCCAGTCCTGCTACAGAGACCACCAAATCCCACAGTGTGTGCACGAGAAGGAGAAAGCACACAGGCGGGTCTTTGTGGTCTCATTAGAATTACACACTCAGGTCACTCTGGAGTAAGATAAATGCCAGCCAAGGCAACGCTTCTGAGTCTTCGGGCCTGCTAAAGGCAGTTATCCCAGAGTTAAATGTCAGGGCTAGTTTCATGAGTGCAAAAAAAAGAAAATGTCATGTTTGGTGTAAGCAACAACATCATTTTAATCAAATCAGAAGCTCATTATTAGCAGAAGAGAAGCCCCGATATGACCTCTACCATAAGCTGTGTCCACCTGGCTTCCCACTCCACCTGGTCTCAACCTAAGGCTCCTCACTGATTTCCCTTAGGCAGAAAGCAGCAAACACTTTCAGTGTAATACCAGTGGAGACTCACAGCCCAAGTCCACTGCTCTCTCAATGGGCCGCAGTGTAAGAGTCTAGAGTCAGACCGCCTGAGTCCAGTCCAGTTCCTTCACAGTCCAGCTCTGTGGGCAAGAGACTTCACCTCCCAGTAAATAAGAATAATAGTGCTTCTCTCCTAGGATGGTTATGAATATCACATGAGATAATAGATGTAAACTACCTTAAACAATGGCTAGCACACTAAGTGCAGGATAAATGTTAGGTATCATCTACTTCTGCAATGTTTTATTTTAATTGCAATTTGCGTATATTACCTTTACAAGAAAAAAAACTTAAAAAAAAAAAGAAAACAAGGACTCCCCTGGTGGTCCAGTGGCTAACACTCCAAGCTCCCAATGCAGGGGGCTGGGGTTCGATCCCTGGTCAGGGAACTAGATCCCATATGCCACAATGAAGATCAAAGATCCTGCATGCCACAACTGATAAGATCTGGTGCAGCCAAATAAATAAGTAAATATTTTGTACAAAGAAAACAGAACAAGGAAGAAATACTGACTGCGAAAGTTAAAGGATTTCATCCAGTAGACAAGCGGTTACCTGAGAGAAAAGATCACATGTATATATCTTACTCATTCTTCTAGCCACTGCCTAGCACATTTGACAGTCAAGTATTTGTTAGAATGAATGGATGGATTACAAATGAATGTAGGAATGAACAGAGGAAAATCTCCTTACAGTAACTGTATGGAAAGCCAAATCAGATTCAGAAAAAAATCAGGCAAATGGCTGTGGCATCCTCACCCCTCAACCTGAAACAACAGAGGAGCTAAAAGCACAGCAGATGGAGCAGTTAGAAGTGGGAAATAACTATACAACTTAACACAAACATCTGCCTTCTTCATCCTCTCCTTCTTCAAACTGTATTTGTGCAGAAGTTCAGGTCTCCGTCTAGCTAAAACATCCCAATTGCTAGTCTTTATCAAAGAAGAATGACCAAACTAACAGGCTCCCACTACATTTGGGAGCAAACATCTGTATGTTGTTATATTTCTCCTGGCTCCATTGCTCCAGGCAACAAACTATAGCGTAGCTGTGAAAGCTCTACTTCTGGAAAGAAGGAGATAGCATTATTTGTGTATCTAGAGCAACAGGACCACCTCAAAGTATTAAGTAGAGGCCATCCGGTCATCTCTGGCAACGTCAAAGCACATTCAACAGGCAAGAGAGCAAGGAGCACTTAGCCCGCCACCCATTTCCACTTCAAATTTAGCCAATAACTTCCACCAAGGGGTATCATCAACTCTCTAAAAGGGGCTCTTAGTTTTCAATTTCAAAAGCTCAAAAACCACTTCTTCATACCTCTTCCCTCGAGTGCAAAAAAGAAAACAGACAAACAAAGAAAAGAAAAAGAAAACAAGTCAAGGGGAAGGGTAAAAACTTTTCTTTCACAAAGTAAAAGGCAAAAAGTGACTTTCTCGCAAACTGACAAGCATCATAACAATAGTCTCAGGGCCTGGTCTTTCAAAGTTATCAGTGGTTTCCATAAAACTGAAACAGCAGGAGAGAAGCTAAGCGTTGTCAATCTCCAGCGAGGCCAGTGAAACGGTGATGGCTGGTGAAAATCACCAGGCTGGCTGATCCCTGGCACCCTTAGCTGAGGCTTCGTCAACTGTCTACTCAATTGCTTCTACAGGAAGCAAACTTTTAGTCCCTGGTCCCAGGGGATGGAGGTTTTGTGGTTATTCCAAGTAAAACAATCAACTAAAGACACTCAGACTCGGCCTAAAAGAGAATCTAGTTTGAGTTTCGTAACACTTTAAAGAGGTTAATGGAATTAAATTATATTAATGGCATTAAATTATGTCTGACCCACGGCTAGCATCAGAAGACTCCATGGAGCATATATTAATGCCACAGTTGATGATTGAAGATATTTGGAATTCTGAAACATTTTGAATGTTTTTAATGGTACGTTGGATTAAATTATCATTTTTAAAGAATATATACTGCTAAAAAATATTAGTTGAACACCTAAAATTGCTCCAGAAACAAAAAAAAAAGCAATGCATTTGAACACAGCTTTTCTCTTCTTGTTAAACTTAGGATATTTTCAGCAGGAAGTATTCTTAATCATCCTAGGAATTACCTAGAATGTTTTTTTAAAATATGGATTTCCAGCACTCATCCCAGAACTATAGAATCAGAATCTCTGAGGAGGAAGGGATGAGTCTGGTACTACAATTTAACAAGCGCCCCAGGTGAGAGCTTCATGATCAGTTAGGCTTGTAAAAACACTGATCCAAGAATTTAAAATGTCACCATTTGCAAGAAAGATGAGAAATCAAGAAAAGCCCAATCTTTTGAAATTTAACTCTGAATGAGAAACAAGAATAGTGCCATATGCATGAAACACTAAGACTAGAAAACCTTGAAAAGACACAAAAGCAGAGTAAACCTGTCCACACGGAAGACCAGCAAGAACAGTCGCTTTCCATCCAACCCAGCTGCCACGTGAACCAGAGGGGGTGTGCAGAAGGGGCTGTGTCCTCCAGCTCTAGCCAAGTCAAGCATCTGCCCCTTTCCTCAACTCTATCTAAAACGTAATGAAGAAGGTAAGAAAAAACAAGATAATTTCTACCCTGTGTGAGTCTGGGAATGGAAGCCTCTGTGGGGCATCTTTCAGGCAGCTTGGCCATCTTTTTCAGCCACAGGCAAAGGTAGTCTGTACAGGGCTCTTTGAGGTGGAACAGAAAGGGGATAGAAGATGGTTAACAGAATAGATCAGGAACAGGAGATCTGGCACAGGTGGTGGTGGTCGGGGGCGGGGGGAGGGAAGCAGTAAGGCCTCATATCGCTTGTTCACTGAAAGTGTTTGAAAGCCTCTTTCAAGGAAAAGGCCACCATCAACGAAAGGGAAGAGGAACAGAGAGGAGAGAGATAAGTAAGTCCCCACTCAAGGCCTTAGCGCCTCTGGAATGGGCCCTGGAGAGGTGCTCTTTAGAAAGTACTAGAAGACATCTGGATTAACTGGATTTCTCAGGCCCTCCCTCTGCAACGGCTGGGCATGCGGGGCATGGGGTAAGAGGAATCCAGGGTAGGGGGTGACCCTCACATGTCTGCCACTCAAGAAGTCCTGTGCCAAGACCAGGGGCTCCGTGGTATGGGTCCCTCCCCAGGGCAGGAATTCCTGGTGTTAAATATCATCCAAGTTTTCCCTAGTGCCCTAGAAGCACACGGTCCCAGCCACCTGGGGCAGCCTCTGAGAGAGCTGGCAGCACCTCCCACAGCACAGAGGGGATGCCATCTGCTGGAAAGACTGCGTCAGGAGCCTCTGGGCCGGCATCCTCCCGGGCGTACCTGGGGAGCAGACGCCAGCCTGGGGCAGAAACAGACAGCAGATTGCTTCTGGGTGCCCAGGAATAACTTTCTCGCCTCCCACGGCTCCCTCAGAGGAGCATCCTCTGCCATTCAGGCTCCTCTTCAGCGTGGCGGACCAACTCACTAGCGCCTGCTCCCTTTCCCTTCTTCTAAGGAAGCCGAGGGTCCAAACCACAATGGTCCCTCCAAACAAGAGCATGTATCAAAGCCGTAGCCATGGTTCTCCGAACCTCCTGGACACCTGGCTCCCTACTCAAGGAGCTGGGCTCACTCCAAACCTAAACCTCTGCAGCAGGCATTCTTCTGGACACGGCCCCCCACCCCACCCCCTGCCAGAGATGGTCTAAGTCACTGCTGCCCAGGGAGGTTCTCCGGGGGCCTTGATAAAGTCAACCAGCAGCATTAGGAGAACTCGAAAGCTTAAGGAGCCTCTGTCTCCGCAGCTGCTCACTGTTCATACCGCGTTTAGTGCAATCACTTTCCCCCAGTCGTACCAATTACACACACCTGGACCACAGGTAACAGGGGGCGAAGAACATCAAGGCTTCTAAGTTGTCTTTAAAGAAGTTCCTTTCAGGCAAGATGAAGCCCATGAACCCCGAACCCACAAGCTGCCTGCGAAGTCTGCACCAGCGCCTTTCCCACCCGCTAAGGAGGCGCAACCCGCCCCCCCAAACCACCACCCACCTCTGGCTCCGAGGCTCTCCCACCCCCCGCAGGGCCCCGAGTACTCACGTCTCGAAAGCGGTTCCAGTACTTGTCCCGCTCGTACTGGGAGACTGTGCTCAGCCACTGGTCGTTGTCCAGGAAATTGCCGTTGTTGTGGCCCGCGCCTCCGGCTAGCGCGTCCAGGTGCCGGCTCTCGACCTGGAGGAAGCACCACGCCGCGGCGGCCGCCGCGAGCACCGCGATCGCTGGCATCTGCGGGGAAGGGGCACGCGGGGGCGGTGAGGGGAGGCCCGGGGCGGCGAGCCCAGGGCCGCGCGCCCCCGCCGTCGGGGCAGGGGGGACCTCCCCGCGGGGCCAGGGTCAACCCTGGGCACACCTGCGGCGGATCTACAGACCCAGGGGTCTCTCTCACGAATGGAGGGGGGTTGGGTCGGTTTCAAATGAAGAGGCTGCGTCACAAATTAGGAGCCGCTATCAAACTATAGAGGACCCCTATCGTCCGGGCGCCCCACGCACCGCCGCTCTCGGACAGGGGCTTCAGTACCCCTCCCCGAAAACGGAGAGCCCTGGATCCGCAAGCCTGACTCCCAGACACGGCGCCCAGAGCTCGGGGGCAGGGAGGGGGTAAACAGGGCTCCGAGCAGCAGTCCAGGCTCCCACTGAATGCGGGGTATACCTGCGGACGGGGTGACGGGGTGTCTCCCCTCGGCCCCCCGCCGCCGCCTCGGGGAAAGAGGGGCGCGAGGAGACAGCCCCAGGCAGGCCCTGACCCCGCCGGCCCCCACCCCCGGTGGCCGCGGGGAGGTGTCCCAACTACGCCAAGTTGGGGCGCGGGTTCTGCGGGGAACGTACCTTGGCGCCCGGCCCGGGTCCCCGCGTCCGAGTTGCTCGAGCTCTTGTGGCGCGGCCGCCGAGAAGGCTAACCGGCTGGCGAGCTCCCCAGTGCTCCTGCCACCCGCCGCCGCGCGTCCTGCCGCTTTGTGAGCCCGCAGCGCTCTGGCTCCGCTCGCACGCTCGCAGGCTCGCTCGGGCGCGGCGTCCGCGGGCGGAGGAGCCCGAGCGCTCGAGCCGAGGCCTCTGGCGACCCCTGGCGGCCGCGCGCCGCTGTGCGGCCCGCCCGACCGCCCCGCCGCCCCTGGTCCCGCAGCTGGGGATCCTGGTTATCCGCAGCTGGGGATCCTGGTTATCCACATCTCTACGCAAGGCTGAAATAAGCTTTCAGGCCCAGGCTGGCGAGAGACAGCTAGGGGAAATGAGGATCAAGGCCAAGAGGAGGGCCAACGTTGAGGCATTCTCAAAAGCAAGGTCGTTGGACCACTTAAGTCAGAATCATCTCAATGGTGGGGGAGGGAGGACTTCTTAAAAATGGGGACTCCTGGCTCACGCCCCAGACTCGCTGAATCAGCATGCCTTAGGAGAACGTCCAGAGGTGAGTGAATTTCTGCACTGCCCACCCCAGGTCATGCACCCACCCATGTCTCTGCACATCCGTGGCCTGTACCATGCCAACTACAGTACCTTAAGACAGTCCTTCTGGCCCCCACTTCCATCATTTGTTACCTATTTCTGCCTTGTGTCACCGCATTGACCCGGTGGGCATCCCTTGGTGTTCTTACACAGCAAGGTCCATATCTGTTTCTGTTGCCAAACCTTGGGAACTGGCCCCAGCCTCTTGGGTTTTCCTAGAGGGGAGGGAGCAGGAGAGGGAGAACCAGGCCAGGCTCAGGGACAAGACATAGAGGCAGGAGATGCAGCCCCTGCTGGCATTCTAGATCCTCAGGCAAGTCTGATCAAAAGGGCAGGGCAAACTGACCTGCTGCCTCTCTCTTGTACAACCACAACCCATTCTGCAGATGGCTGAATGCTTTTGTTGAAGCTGAAACTCCAATACTTTGGCCACCTGATGTGAAGAGCTGACTCACTGGAAAAGACCCTGATGCTGGGAAAGATTGAGGACAGGAGGAGAAGGGGACAACAGAGGATGAGATGGTTGGATGGCATCACCGACTCAATGGACATGGGTTTGGGTAGACTCTGGCGGTTGGTGATGGACAGGGAGGCCTGGCATGCTGTGGTTCATGGGGTCGCAAAGAGTTGGACACTACTAAGCGACTGAACTGAACTGAATGCTTTTAGAACAGGTCTGACATAGTCACCCATCTCTCCTCAACACACACTTACATCTCTTCATGTTTGCTTTCCTGATAAAGACCAAACTCACGGCTGGGTCTCCAAACCCTGCACATTTGGCCCTGTGCACCTCTCTGGATGCCTCTCACACCACCCCTCCTCTTCTGACTTCCTGGCTTTGGTATGGGTCTCAGTGGATGTGGGCTCACTCTAGCGCTGGGTAGTAACTTCTACTTGGGCTGCTGTCCAAGGGACTAGCGCTGGGTGGTGACTTCTACTTGGACTGCTGACCACACCTGCCCCCAGTGCCAGCCTCATTGATTTCAGCCCTCAGCTTATTCACCCTGACTGCTTCAGACAGGCTTGCTGAACTGAAGGCCAGGATGCTGCATGAGGCCAGGATGCTGGTGACTCTCCCCTGAGAACAGAGTGCTTCTCAGCTGCAAGATCACTTGACATCACTCACTCCATGTCTGTGTCTCTGCCTGCTTGGAGCGAGCTCCATGAGGGAAGAGGCCCAGTTTGGCTTGTTCACCAGTGACCACGGTGCTCAGAGCCCAGCTCTCGACACTGAGCCCCAACATATGTGAGGCGGTCAGCTATTGATTGTGCTGCATGTAATTTGGTTGCATGTAGTTCAATGTGTGGAAGTTGGATTGTGATTTTTTCCTAAAAAAGTAGCAGATGCTTATCCCAACATTACTCTGACTGATTTACATTCCTAGAAGTTTTCCTGAAAGGGAGGAAAGGAGTGGAGTCACAACTATTAAACTGGGGACTGTGGTTGTCACAGGAATATTTTAGGTATTTTTGTCCCGGTGGTATCAGTGCAGGAAAGAAATATACATATGATGGAGAGTACATTTCTTACTTTCTCATGGAAACCCAAGTAAGTTCAGCTCCAATTCATTTTTCCACCCACTCTGATCTGCCTTTCATCTTCACTGACTGACGTGACTTGTCACATCAGCGATCTCCTCCAAGGGGGCAGCCCTCAGTCCTCCTGTACTTGACCCTGAGCACCCCTTTAGGGTCCCACGGGACTCTCCCTTCTGGCTGGATGTACCCACATGTATACACCGTAGGTTCTGTGGGCTCAGGCCAAAGCTGTCTGCCCTTTCCGGGTGTTCCCATCCTGTCCTGTGCTGAGATGCTCCTGTTGCATTTCCAGCTCGGAACTGTCTGATAACTTCCAGCTGTGATACATCCAGCTTTATAATCGACAAGTCCTCCAGATGCCCCAGGGGTAAATCAAACTACAATGTCAAATCAGAAGTCTAGATTTTCCTCCACAAACCTGTGCTGAGTCCTCCCCATAATAGTAAATGTCTCCCCACCCACATGGCTGCTAAAGCCAGAAACCCACGAGGCACCTTCAGTCCCTCCATCTCCCTGGTCCCTCACTGCCCATCTGTCAGCAAGCCGGTCCCCACCACTTTCAGACTCCCTTCCCGTTCATCCTCATCCCTCCACCTCCATGGGACCACCAGGTTCTCTTGGCTGTTGCTCCCTTCTGAAAGACTACAGGGGCATCTTGGCTAGTTTCCTTGATTCTTTCCTTTCCCTTCCAACCCACTCTTCACTAAGGGGTCAGTGCCATCTTTTTAAACAGATTATTACTCCTTCTTCTAAAACTGCTCAATGGCTCACCATGACACTGCAATGAAAATCTAAACTCCTTCCCGTGATCAATAAAGCCCAGCACCATCTGGCCCTTTTCCCTATGCTGTGATGCCCTGAATTCCAGCCAGACTCCTGCTCACGGTTGTGCATGCACACGAAGCGTGTTCTCACCTCTGGTCCTCTGCACTGGCCATACCCTCTGCCTGAACAGTCCTCTCCCTTCTCTTCAAAGGTCAGCTCCTTCTTGGGAGCCTGCTCAGAGGTAACACCTCACTGAAGTCTTCCCTGACAACCCATCTAAAATAGGCCCTCCCCATCCAGCCACATCAATACTCTCCATCCTTGCATTTGGTTGTTCCCTTAAAAGTATTTTGCCCTTTGATTCTCTGTCTTGCAATTCAAATAGTAATTCCAGGAAAACAAAAACAATGTCTTTTTCATGCCTGTATCTCCAGGCTTAACTCATAGCTTGATGGGCATTCAATAAATATTTACCCAATAATTGGATGAATGAGTGGAGCAAATTCCATAACCCTTAATTCACCCTAAAGTTTGAAACTTAACTGTGTGGAGACATTTCCTCTGGTCACCCTTAAACCCCTTGCTCTGCAGATTCAATCTCTGCTTTTCTGGCCGGCCCTGTCCCTGGTTTAATCAGAGGGCATCTGCTCTTGGCCAGGCTCCAGTTTCACAACTGGAATTGTCCCTGTAACCACCCACCGGGGTGGGAAGGGCAGTCAAAGCAGCCGAGGCAGGTGTGGGGGCGCTGAAGCTGGCCTGAGATGAGAAAGGACATAACCTTGGAGCCAGGGCAAGGAGCTAGAAGCTGGAGACCTGCCATCAGCCCAGCCGGCTTGGCGAGGAGGGATGTCAGATTTATTCGGCCGCGGGAAGCACCCGGGACCAAAATCAATACTGAGCCTTGGGGCTGTATTTCTGCTTGTCATTGGCTTACACACAACTATAATAACTCCTTGTTTTAACATAGTTCTTATTTCCAAAGAGCACCACATGTTTTATTTTCAGTTTAATGGATCCTCAAACATGTGCTATTGGTAGTCTGAAGCAGACATAACTATCACCATTTTACGCTGGGAACAGGGCACACAGAAAGGTTAGATGAATTGCCGAAGGTCGCAAAGAGAGAAAGATGGATCTAATAGTGGAAAGTTCTAGGTGTAGCCCCCCCCAACTTCATGATATCGCTATCTGATAAAAGAGGGACCTATAACACTTACACTGTCATCAACCCGGATTTATTTTTAGCTGCACACTCATACACCTGCTTGTTACATAGCATCTCCATTTGGCTACTGTCTCACTGGCCAAATGAACTTATTGTGTCCAAAACTGAATGCTTCAGCTGTTCCCCTGCCAAACCTGCTTGCCTTCCCATGTCCCCGATGGGAAAGCAACCACCACTATGCCAGTGGTGGTCACCAAATGCTAGTGTCATCCTGACGTCCTTCACAGCCACCACTTTTAATGAATCAGTCAAA